CAGCCCCTCCATGTCCTTCCTGAACTGAGGGCCCAGAGCTGGACACAACACTCGAGGTGAGGCCTCAGCAGTGCCCAGTCCAGGGGCAGAATCCCTGCCCTGCTCCTGCTGCCACACTGCCCCTGATCCGGGCCAGGATCCATTGGCTTCTTGCCCCCCTGGGCACCCCTGGCTCCTGTTCAGCTGCTGTCAGTCAGTCCCCCCAGGTCCCTTTCTCTCCCCCCACTCTCTCCCCAGCCCGTGGGGCTGTCGGGGGTTGTTGTGGCCAAAGGGCAGGACCCGGCACTTGGCCTTGTTGAACCTCACCCTGTTGGACCCTTCCCATCTCTCCAGCCTGGCCAGGTCCCTCTGCAGAGCCCTCCTGCCTTCCATGAAACGACTGCCTGATAAATACCCCCCACTGTCAGTTTGGGATGGCCCGGGGGGATGGAGGGCAGGCTGCTGTGGGGATGGGGCTGGGGAACAGTTGATGGAAGGGATGAAGCCTTTGTTCAGTGAAAACAGTCTGAGCTCTGAGGAGGTCCCACAGTGGGGATGTGCTCGGGCACTCTGGGCACAGAGGGCCTCTTCTCCTGGGTGTGTCAGGTATCACAAAATCATGGAATATTCTGAGCTGGAAGGGAGCCACAAGGATCATCCAGTCCAACTCCTGGCCCTGCACAGACACCCCAACAATCCCACCCTGTCCCTGAGAGCGTTGTCCAAACCCTCCTGGAGCTCTGGCAGCCTTGGGGCTGTGCCCACTGCCCTGGGGAGCCTGGGCAGTGCCCAACCAGCCTCTGGGGGAAGAACCTTTGGCTGAGATCCAACCTGAGCCTGCCCTGACACAGCTCCAGCCATTGCCTCAGGTCCTGTCACTGGTCACACAGAGCAGAGATGGAGCTGCCCCTCTGGGCAGGAGTGATACAACAATAAATCCTGTGGAATGAATGCCTGGGAATATATGACTATTAATAATTATTTAATGACTACTCCTTCTGGTGCAGATGCCCCTGAGCTGGCACTGGCCCAACTTCAGCACAGCAGTGAGGCAGTGGCAAAAATCATGGTGAAGCACAAGGGGAACACAAAAGGCCATTTCACCCTCCCTGAACAGGACTGGCAGCACAGGAGGGGGCACCTTACAAAGAATACTCACTGCAAACCCAGAGGATGTTTGCTTGGAGAATGTACCACCTGCAGGCAGGAGGCAAAGGCACCCTGGGGCACCACAAGTGTAATAGAGAATCACAGAATCATTAAGATTAGAAAAGACCTCTAAGATCACCAAGTCCAACCACCATCAACCCAGCACCACCACTAAACCATGTCCTCAGTGCCAAAAAACATATTTGTTTCCTAAGATGCATTAAAGGATCTCCAAAATGAGAGTCAGAGCCTCCAAAACCCACTGTGGAAGGACATTCACATTCCAGAGGAAATTCAGAGGACTGAAGCAGAGAGAAGCTTTGCTGTGCAGAACCTCCCAAGCAGTGCAGAAATCCAACCCAGAGGGGTCCAGAGAACTGAAATGCTCCATTCACTCCCTGTATTCCCAGGTTGAACATAGGCAGGGACAGAGTAGAGTTGAGAAAACCCATGATTTCAAGTAATAATATGGATGTACATCTTCAGTCCACACAGACTGCACATCCCAAAGACACAATATGCTGTTGCAAAGCTTGTATTTCATGGGCTTGATGGCTGAGTCTTCCTGATTATGTGCATTGACCCTAAATGTCCATTTAATTTGTCTTCGAAGAAGGGACAAAAGTAAAGCTGCTGCTGTCTGAACAAAAGATGATTAAGGAAAGGGTGTAGGATTTTTTTTAATTCCTTCATTATTATGGAAATATGCCTTTTAGAGGCTGAACAGAGCTGGTTCAGTGAGAAGTTCCAAACTTATTTTATGGTTGAAAATGTGATTGTGACATTTAATATGAGGTAGGTCAGGCAGAATGAGGCGGAGGCCGTGTCCCCAGTGCCAGTGATGAGACAGGGATGATAACTCCTGGCCAGGGCAGCCAGGAATTGTTCCATGTGGAATCACTGTGGGTCACCTGTGTTAGAAATATCAACTTTATTTGACTCTTGTGCTTCAGTGTGCAGCCAAACTCTGTTACCTGAAGGACAGTGTTTGTCCAGTTAAGCCCAGCCCAGCACAGGCTTGCCTAGAAGGGCATGTGGCACCTTATGCCAGGGCTCCTGCAAGACTCTGGAAAGCCCCAAGAAACAACATAAACAGGCAAAGAATTTCAGACATGTCTTGGGCCTGGATGAAGATTTTCTGCTTGGTCATCCTGCAGGAACAACATACATCCTCCATGAAGAATGGTGGGAGGGAGAGAAAGGGAAAAAACGATGTCCCATGTGAAAATTTGGGAACTATCCCAATGAAACTGAGATGTCTTCACTCCCTAGTTCACAGCACAGGGAAAATATCCCACAAAGGCAGTACAAAAAAAATAAATAAAACTGATCCTTAAATCAGCCCAGGTGCCAGACACTGATCAGAAGCCACAATCAAACAAGAGACACAACCTCAGCTCCAGAAAAGTGTGAATGAACATGAAAAACTTGGAGAATATTTTAACTGCTTCCAGAAAACAAATCCCACCCTGCTGAATCAGGTCCAAACCCAGCACAATTCACATCTTTTGATAAACAGGAGTAGAGATGGGATAACTCACATCTCCTTGGGATGCTCTTCCTCCCCTCTCACTCCAAACCCATGGCAGGTGTTGGAGCTGCTTATTGCCACAGCAATGTTTTCTTGCAGGTCTGGGAGCTCTCCCACCCCAGCACAGCTCTGCAGATGGCCTTATTAACCTTAAAAACTACTGTGGCATCTCCATGTCCTTTACAAACCATAACCACAAACCCCAGAGGGTGTTCTCATTCTAGGAGAGCCCCCCAAGGCAGCACCTGCAGAACTCTGTGTCTGTGGCCTTTCTCCTCATGTATGGTCACAACTTTGTTTACCAAGTGCCACAAGAACCCACCTGAAGGGCAGAAAGGCTTTTAGAGGAGGTAAGGGCTGGTGATTTCTCATGGTTCAGGTACCTTGATTCCTCCCCAGGAATGGTCAGACAGGAACTCCACAGGGCTCATGACTCCAGGCTGTGCTGGGTATCTCAGCAGGAAATCCAGCTCTGCTGGGTTGATTTCTTTATTCATCAGGAGTATCTGTAATTCCAAACAGACAAGATATCCTTGAGCAGCAATAGAATCCAGCAGATTAATTATTCAAACCATGTACCTGCCAAATGTGTGGCTAAAATGTACTCAGAGCCCCATGTTGGAGAGGTGTGATGGACACACCACGCAGGTGCTTGGGGTCTCCCCAAAACAGGAACAGGAATGAGGATGGAGATTGGCAACAGAAGAGGAACAAAGCTGGGAAAACTACGTGGCAAGTGCTGTGATCCAGGTGGATGGGAGCACCCTGAGGAGCAGTCCCTGCCAGGGTGTGCTGCAGGTCCCTGGGCTGGGATCCACAGCTGGAGAGCAGAGAACTTCCTTGAGAGGAACCAGAGCATCCTTAGGGAATGCTGCCAGGGGGTGGGCCACCTCTCATTGTCTTGTTCAATTTATAAACCAAGTGGAGACACACTGAGAGTGTTGGGAAAAATAAACAACAAATAAACAGCAACAACAACAAAACCCAAACCAAAATCCCCACCACCCTCATGGTTCCTGCAGCAAGAGAATAAGCAGGTCCATGAGGTCTCAAACACCACAGAGCACCTGGGACATTCCAATGTTTTTAGTACCAGTGGTGGCTTTCAGGAATAAATGGAGTAAGACTGCCAGAGCCATGGTTGAGGTCATTCTGGAAAGCCCAGCTGGGGCCACTGCTCCAGGGGCAATGCCAGAATTCTGAAATCCCAGACTCCAAAACCCTGAACACCAGTTCTGGGAGGGGGGAAAACCAGTGCTGGAGCAGGGAGTGTGTGGTTTCCTTGCCACAGATCCTGGTTTGTATCCCAATGATGTCAAAAGGGCAGTGGCACATAAGGTGTGCCTGGCACCTCTCCTGGCACTGAGGGCACGAGGAACTCAGTTCAAGAACAAACTGTTTTTTTCTATGGGAGCACCCTGTGCCCATCACCCAGGTGCCTCCACACACTGACACTGGGGCTGCTGCTTTTCCTGACACATTAAGGGACCCATTAATTATTTTCAGTGTTTATTGTAGTTACAAGCACAATGTGTACTACTGAAACACTTTATTTAGAGATATATGCTAAAAAATGTACGTGTTCCATGGGTCAGAATTATGGCTCACATTGCAAAATGTAACCTGACTTTTTACACACAATTTATTAACAAAATATCCTGTTAGAGTCCATTTTTTTTACATATGTGTATATATACACTTTCCCTTTTACACATAATATTTTGTTAAGTAGAATTAAAAGAAGTCTTGGCCATCCCTGGATCAAGGTTAACCAGCCCTGCAGTGTTTCAGCAGGTGGATCTTGGTTCAGATCTGCATTCTTGGAGGTATTTTCCAAACTTATTTATTCTGTGATTCTACATGTCAGGGCATTTCCACAGTCATTCACTGCACAAACTTCATATCAACTTCACAACTTCATTCCAAGCACATATCCAATTATTGATTGGATATACAAGCGTCTCCATGCTCAGATCATAGACTAAAAATCATATAAAATACTATACATTATAAACATTATACATGGTAGAGCAGCTGTGTGGGAAGAATTTCTTTGGGATAAAAGCAATAACCCTTCCAGGCCAGTTTGCTTTGCCCTGTTTTCCAGGTCCTGCCAGCAGGTATTACTGTCTCAAACAACCTTGGCCATCACAATTCAAATCCAACTCAGCATCTGTGCCTGTTATTGGTGAGAGTCAGTCCTATGAGGAGCAGCTGAGGGAGCTGGGGGGGCTCAGCCTGGAGAAAAGGAGGCTCAAGGGGGACCTTCTGGCTCTGCAACCCCCTGACAGGAGGGGGGAGCCGGGGGGGGTGTCTGGCTCTGCTCCCAGGGAACAAGGGACAGGAGGAGAGGACATGGCCTGAAGTTGCACCAGGGGATGTTCAGGTTGGACATCAGGAGGAATTTCCTCCTGGAAAGGGTGGTCAGGCCTTGGAAGGAGCTGCCCAGGGAGGTTTGGAGTCCCCACCCCTGGAGGTGTCCCAGGAAGGCCTGGACATGGCACTCAGAGCTCTGGGCTGGGGGACAAGGTGGGGATGGGGCACAGGGGGGATCCGTGGGCTGGGAGGGCTTTTCCAACCTCAGGGATTGTGGGATTCTGATCCTTGCTCACAGACTGCCGCCCCTGGTGGTGTTACCTGGAAGGTGAGCTGGGCAGTGTAGGTCAGCCTGTCCCCCTCGAACAGCCCCCGGGCCGTGTACTGGCACACACAGAGGGTGATGCTGTCGCTGAGGCTCCTCACGCGCTCCGCCAGCCCCTCGGCAGGAGCCGCCCTCTCCATGGCTCTCTGGAACACCTTCTGGAATGCCTGGGGGGGACACACAGTGGGACATGTGACTCTGAGATCCCCTTTGCATGGTACCCCCTGAACTGTCACAGTGAGAGATGCCAATCTCTAGGGCCACTTGGAACATCCAGAGACCAGCCCCTGCATCTGCCTGTAGCTGCTCTTCAGGAACAGAGCCTGGCAGTGGTGACATCCCCTGTGACACTGAGCTCTCAGGAGCACAAGGAAGCAGCACAGACACAGGCAGAGGGAGCTCAGACACGGGGATACAGGAAATATTTCTCTTACCATTGTGCTCTCACAGGGAGGACATGAGACATTTGCTCTGCAAATGTTGAGCCAGCAGAATGGGGATCCCAAAGGACACATGGAATCACACACTGGTTTGGGTTGAAAGGGACCTAAAAGCTCATCCAGTCCCACCCCCTGCCATGGGCAGGGACACCTTCCACCAGCCCAGGTTGCTCCAAGCCCTGTCCAACCTGGCCTTGGACACTCTCAGGAATGGAGCAGCCACAGCTTCTCTGGGCAACCTGTGCCAGGGCCTCCCCACCCTCACAGGGAAGGACTTCTTCCCAATATCCCACCTGAACTTGCCCTCTGGCAGTGGGAAGCCATTCCCCCTGGTCCTGTCACTCCATTCGTTGTCCAAAATGCCTCTCCAGCTCTCTTGGAGCCCCTTTGGGCACTGGAAGGGACTCTAAGGTCTCTCTGGAGGCTTCTCCTCTCCAGCTGAACACCCCCAGCTCTCCCAGCCTGGCTCCAGAGCAGAGGGGCTCCAGCCCTGTGATCATCTCTGTGGCCTCCTCTGGACCTGCTCTAACAGATCCACATCTTTGCTGTGCTGGGGACCCCACAGCTGGACACAATATTCCATGTGGGGTGTAGCAACAGTGGAGCAGAGGAGGAGAACACAACTCCCATTGTGCAAATGTTTCAACTCAGAGAAAAGCAACTGCTCTAAATAATAACAATTTCAAGAAGTCCCGTGAGCACTTTACTGTCTGGATCCAGCCAAGGACTGTCTGAGAAGAGAAGGGAGCAGCATTGGTGGGATGGAGCAGCCAGTGAAGTCCACTGGGGATGGGGACCTGCATCGAGAACAACCCTCTTATATAAGAGGATAAGGACTCTTGCAACAACATTTCTGATCTGAATGAGAAAAGACATAAAACTTTCAGAGCCATCCGAAGAAAAAACATTTGCAAATTATCAAATGCAACTGGAAAAAGAAAATGGAAAAGAAAATAAAACCCAAGTCCTGCTTAGGGATGCAAAGGCTCTGTGAGCTGGGCCCAGCTAAAGGAAATAACCATGGATGGCACAGACTGGCCAAGGCCTGACTGTGTTGGCAGCATTATTTTTGGGGTTCTACAAAGGAAAAATGATGCCTCAACAAATTAAAGTAACATTGATACCTAATGCATTATTAATAATTGCAGAATGCATTTTCCTGCTTAACATTTCTTTACATTCCGTTCAAACATGCTGCAGAGCAGCACATAAATCTTTGTGTTCTAATTTATAATGGGTTCCCAGCTGTGTGGCAAGTATTCTAAAATCATTTCTGTGCATCTTTACACAATGTTTTATGATCTGTCATCAAAATTTATTAGATAAAAACATTTCACCCAATAATTTTTCATGTATTTAGACACACTGCTAATATTAACTGGAAAACATAAAACAAACTAACTCTGGAAGATGCAGATTAAAGGTGAAGCCTCAGGAACCCCTGTATCTATTATGTATGTGTAGGGAATGAATCTTTCAAAAGGCACAAAAGATATTCTGTACATTTTTCTGATAAAATTACTCCAACAAACGAGTCGTGGATATAAAAAAGAAAAGCTTCTTTGTGGATCAGGCTCAACACATTGTAGTCTCTCCTCAATTCCTTTTTCCAGGTCACTCGTCAAGGTAAGAAATCGTTTGGAAGAAGTCCTAGGCTAGGACTCCAACTCATTTAACCCTCCAGCCCCCAAAGTACCTTTCTTGTGATTAAAAAAAGGTCTTCCATTTATTAAAGCATTAAACTGGAACTCTTTCTAGATGGTTGGAGCAACCTGGGCTAGTGGAAGGTGTCCCTGCCCACGGCAGGGGGTGGAACTGGATAAGCTTTAAGGTTCCTCCCAACCCAAACCAGTGTGTGATTGTGTGAACCTCAGTGAGAGAGAGCAGCTCTGAGGGCACAGCACCTTCAGGGAGAACTGGTACATGGGGTGGATGTTGTGGAGCTCGTTCATGGTGAAGTAGAGCAGGGAGGCCCTCGCGGCCGCGGGCCTGTAGTGCTCCCTGGCCTCGTTAATCTTGGCTTCTGTCACCTTGAACTCCTGCACCTGCAGGGAAACACAGGACAGGATTCATGTGAGAACATCCCTGTGCAGCGAGTGCAGCCCAGGGAAGGTGGACATGGGCCACAAAGTCCTCAGGGCAGCAGTGGGCAACCCACACATGAGCACCACGGGGAGCAGCCCCTGTCCCCCGAGACACGGTGCAGCCAGGCTTGAGCTGCCCCTCCAGCATCCCCCCACTCTGCAACCTTCCCATTTAACTGCATTTTCCATTCAGTTGCCCAATCCTCCATTTTCCTGAGTCCCCTCCAGACTCCTCCCTGGATTCCCTGCTCTCCACTAACTGGAATTGTTTTTCTCAACAATGAGTTTCTCCTGCTAATTGCAGGTCATTAACAGCACAGGGCTGGACAGCCCCAGTTCTCCTCTCAGGCAGCTTCCCCAGGGCTGGGAGATGCTCATTTATCCCAGCCCTTTGCTGCCTTTCCTCAGCAGCACTGAACACACCCCACCTTGCTGCTCAGGGCTGCAGCTGCTGTGATGGACATGTGGAAATCTTTTTTGGCAGAAACACCAGCCCATCATCATCTCAGTTTGTTCTTTCATTCCACTTCAGCAGCACAAAGTGACATCCTCGAGCCCCTCAGGAGTTATTTGAGGCTCTGTTTGTGCACAGACATGTCTTGTACATGGCCAGGAGCTGCTGAGCCAGAGCTGATCCAGCCAGCTCAGCAAACCATGCTGTGGGATCATAGAACCATGGAATGGTTTGGGTTGGAAGGGACCTTAAAGCCCATCCCCCATGGGCAGGGACATCTTCCACCAGACCAAGTTGATCCAAGTCCCATCCAACCTGGCCTTGGACACTTCCAGGGATGGGGCAGCCACTCTGGGCAACCTGTGCCAGGGCCTCCCCACCCTCACAGGGAAGGATTTCTTCCTAATCTCCAACCTAAGCCTACTCATTTTCAGCTTAAAGCCATTCCCCCTTGTCCTGTCACTGCAGAAGGTCCCTCTCTGTCCCTCTTGTTGGTTTTCTGTGGCAGAGCAGGGCTCAGCAGGGCATCACACATCCCCTGAAACTCAAGCCATTGGGTCCCCTGGGCTGTCCCTGAGCTGGTGGGAGCACATCTGGCTGGGGCACCAACCCTTCCCAAGGCAGCACAGACTGAGCCTTAATCTGCTGTGTGCAAACATCACCACACCACAGCACCCCACAGCATCTGGGGGCTGAGCCTTTTTGCATGTGCCCATGAGCAGAGCTGGACTGATTCATAATTCTAGTCAAATAAAAGCCAGGGGTGGGGCAGACAATTGCTTTCCACAGACAGATCAGAGAGGAACTTCCATAGGAAGGAAAATGCTGCAGGAACATTTTTTTTTTTGCTATACAGACAAAAACCAGAGCAGCAAACCTCTGACAGGGCTCTGCAAACTCCAAAACTCAACCCTGTTGGCACAGAGCTGGCACTGACCATCTGTATAACCACAGCTGGTTTAGAAGCTGGAGCACTTCAGGAACACCTACTTCAAGAGGGAGATGCCAAGCTTGGCAGGTCAAAACATCCCTTCAACACCTCCTTTGGGGGTTCAAGCAAACCCTCCTCAGACAGCAAAATACATCTGATGTACCACAAATGGCTCCCAGAAGTAATTCTGATTTTTAAGGTGGAGGGAGGATCTCTCAGTTTCTTGGTCACTGAGGTTCCAACGCAGGGAAGTGAAAGGCAGTTCCAGCCCAACCCCATCACATGGGTGACTCACCCCCAGCCAGTGGGCAGGGGGAGGGCAAGTGTGGGCTGTGAAGATGGGAGGTGGGGGAGTCCCCATCCCTGGAGATGTCTAAGGAACAACTGGACGTGACACTCAGTGCTCTGGGCTGGGTGACAAGGTGGGCACAGGGGGGACTCAGTGGTCTTGGAGGTCTTTTCCAGCCTAAATGATTCTGTGACTGTGGCTGCAGAGGGAAGCAGCTGAATGGCCATACCAGAGTCCTGGCACAATCCTGGCATGAGAACCACAACTCCCAAGTTCCCTCAGTGTCAGGAAAAACCACAGTGCATTTAGCTGAGCCCAGCCAGCCAGGGGAACTGGGCAGTGCTGACACTCACAGCTCATACCAACACTGACTTATACTCTAAGGAATGGAAAGGTATGAAATGCCCAAGTTCCTGCAGATTTACTCGAGATCACAAACTCACCAGACACGAGCCCCTGGTCAGCACTGAAATCCAGCTTAGCAGAGGCAGTGGGATGTACTCAGGATTAGGCTGGCACCGTTTAAAGCTGCCTTGATACAGTGCGTAAATTTTATTGTCTTTACATCAGACACTGGTGTTTTCACTTGGTCTTAAATAGGTCATTTAACACACAAAAGCTGCAAAGCACCAAATGGCCTGAAGCTCTCCAGAGTGGAGAGCACTATAGTTTATACCCATTTCTCTTCTCTGCTGAGCAGGAGCAGAGATGGGCAGAGCAGAGGTGACATTCCACCCAGAAATCCTCAAAGATAACATCACACACACTCTTTTCTCCAGGCTATCACTGTCTTTGTACCTTCTCCTCGATTTCTGCAGCTGTCTGTTTAGTAATCTCCAAGTTTTCCACCAAGGCTGTGTCTCCCAGGAAATTCCCAGATGCTGATGACAGCCGAGAGAGCAAGTTGTCCTCTAATGTTTTCAAGGTGATCTTGAATCCATTCTGCTGCTTTGTGAGATCTGACTGCAAATGAGAAATTCAGAAAGTTTTAGCCACCAAACACGTGGTAAAGGAAGGATTAACCAACTTCCCATGGGAACAGGCTTCTCACTGACAACTGACATAGTCCAGTAGTGCTTATTCCTGCTCTCTGCAACTCCTGGGATTGGGTGGAGCTCTAGGATCACTCCATATCCAACAAGCCATCAACTCAGAGAAACTTTGAACAGCACAGAAAGCACTAGGAAAGCTGAGCCCTTTCACTAGGAATGTATGAAAATGCTGGGAAGGAACCAGGAAGAAAAGACCTTTATTCCCATCTCAAACATATCTCCTGTATCTTTGTCCCTGATTCAAGTCAGACTGGACAGTCCCTCTGCTCCTCCCCCTTCCTGATGAACTTGCCTCTCCACACCCCACCAGTCACACCAGCAATGGGGCCACAGGGATAAAACCTGGAGGCAAATCCAGCAGCAAAGTCCCTCAGGCCCCGAGGAGAACACGAGATGCCCTCAGGACTGAGGGCACAGCTGAGGCCTCATCTATTGCTGCTCCTGTTTGTATCCTGGCCTCGAAGGCCCACAGGGACCAGTGGCTTACTGGGCTAAAGCTGTACATGCACAAAGTCCTCCTGCCAAGAAGGCCAAGCAGACACAGCCCAGTACAACCATCCTGCCTCAGGGGCACATTTCTGAATCATAGAGTAAATCCTTCCCATTTCTCTGGTCCCATCTCCCTCTCCCCTGTAGAAGCACCAGCACTAATGCTGTTCATGGTGGAAACAAAGACTCTCATCCATCTCCTTTCTGAACTGCTCCTCCAGAACAGGCTTTATCCCATGAAATGTGATTGCCCCATTCTGTGTGTTTGCTCGGAGAAACTGCATCTCTCCTGGATTTCAGGTATATTATGTTATTTCATGATATTGCTCTATTGTTAATATCTATTTTTAGAGTTACCACAGAAAGCATCCTGTGGGAAGGCTGTGCCTCTGATTGGGATGCTGCTGAAGAGCTAAGCCTCGTGTCTGTTCTCTGCATCGATGAAGTCAGTCACTAACACCCTGCTACATAAAGCACTACTGGGTGACAGTTTAAATC